GCAAGACCACTTAATATTATCTCACATATATATTATTATTATTATTATTATAGCAAAATTTGCCACCCTAACTCCTCCCACAGTTTTTACACTACATAGACAAAAATTTACCAAAACGTGCAGATTGTTCCCGATTGGATTGCTATTACTTTGTGGAACGTTTCGCCGAATGGTTCACGGAATATCGTCGTTCTTGTGGCGAAATTTGTCCCTTAGGAATGAATGGCAAAGCTAGAGTGGGAGCTGGCAAAAGCTGAAAAATCAGGACATGATTTCTAAACTGCCACCACTCCCTTATTTTCAGGCCCACCTACACAAATCTTATATCAAAACGTTCAGCTATCCCTCCTGCCACTAAACATGTCAACGGCTAAACCATAGTCCTGATAGTTTTCACAATATAATCATTTGTTTGCAACTAACGCCGTCCATTGACATTTATTGAAACTTCACTCTACAAAGCTCAAATTTGAAGTGCAATTTCTAAACTGCGACTGTGCCTTCATTTTTAATACTTCAGAGACATACTATGCATCAAAATGTAGGTCTGGGTCTTGTGATTCTCACAATATAAAGCTCATCGCTGTAGGATTTATAGTTTTTAAAATATGACCATTTGAAGATGGCAACCACCAAAATACTCTGACCTGTCAAGGCTGCAGCAGCAAGTGATGTCATAGACAGGGCCTTTTGAACACCTGCTAATGTTTTATAAATGTATGGTTTAATGTAACTGTGCAACAACGTTGCAATTGAATGTGCTATGTAAATGATAACAGTTACTCCGCCCACTCCAGTTGTAGACTACTGGTGGAGGCAAGAACACTTCACACAATTTCCCCAGAAATTGTAGCTTTTCTAGTTGTATTTTACTGTTTTTTTACTGCCATGTGCTTAATGGAGTTTTGCCTCTGTCCTTGGAGATAATTGGATTACTCCGTTCGTGGATTAAAAGTCCCGAAATACTTACCATCCGTGAATATCCTATGGTTCATTAGAATCCCCATGTTTAACTTAGTCTGTCTACCGAACGGCGGGACGTTCGGTAGTTTTGGCACGAATTTATAGAAGTCTGGAGGTTTGCCTAGTCGAGTGTCCGATTTTAGTTCCAGACACTCGACGGCAAAACACTGCTGTTCGGGAGTTTAAGATGGCCGCTGCCACGTGTAAAACTCCTGAAATCGCAGCCACCCAGGGACTTAAACAGAGCGTTTGTGGGTTTTCAATATGACTTTATTAGCCGAACAGGGAGGTAAATTGAAAAACAATTAGGTATCAGTGTGGTCCGGTGTTCGGTAGTTTTCCTTCGTACGGTGAATGCAGTGTCAATATAGTTTTGGTGAAAACAATTAAACAAATGCTTTAATCTACCGAAAGTCTTTAGAGAACATCTACACGAAAGCAGATGGAACATACAATTTTCAGACAGCTCCTTTGCCGGATAAGAGGTATATATATATAATCCGTGGTCTCTGTTACTTGATATGTCTTCGGCTAGTTCTTAAAAGTCATATACGAACAGTCTTTGTATTTATGTGCAGGGTAAAGTGGGAAAAGGCAAGAAAATGGTGGATGTTCACAGGCACATTATAGGGATTTGTTGCAAACAGCGTTTGGTAAGAATGAACTCCCAACATAAGAGACATACACTGATTTTATTCACGAATGCCTACGTTTGGTATTTTGAACGTTATTTAGAATCCTTGAAGTAGAGCAGCCACACAGCCTGATTCTCTGGAACTGTTTTAATCATGGAGCCATACGTGCGTGCGGTCGGTCAAAATATGACTTCCAGGAAATTTCTGAACCCCTGCTGTGATCTGGGTGATTTTTGGATGTGTTGGTAACCCAGATCAGGGCTATCAGGGGATATCATGTGTTTTTGAGGTACTTTTGAGATTTAGTAAAATGTGTTTTTTCTCCCTGGAGATAGGTGGCTTAATACAGTATCTCACTCAATTATCTCCCCGGCAGAGGGGAGAGATTGTATGAAATGTGTGCAAGTGTCGTGCATGTAATCAGTGTTCTTATTGGTCTGTGTCTTTGTGCTGGGGTCCCCAACAAGGTCCATGTGGGCGTACCCCTTGCAGGGAGATTAACATTAAAGGCCAGTGTGGCACCATTAAAATTCAGTCTTACTTCAGCCTTGTAATGGAGCATCCTATACCCCAGGTGGGTACCTTCACCAAGGACCGCTTCCTAGCAGGCACTGAGGACCATAACCACCGCACCGGACACCATAAGCGCCATAGACTTCATGAACTGCCGCAGCTTGGTTGGGATCTCACCGTCCTCCACCCACCCTGGACCCAAGACCAGGATCCAGCTTCCAGTGAGTGAAAATCTCCTCCAAGAGAGTGTAGCAGTAACAGCTCTTATAAGAGCTAGTAGTGATAGCTTTATAGCATTTTCCCCCGATCAGAGACAAGACTCTAGATTGAGGTTGAAGTAAGTCTAGTTTAATGGTAGCCACGCTGGCCTTTTATTCAAGTCCCCAAGCAAGGGATACACTCACATGGACCTTGTTGGGGACAGGGACACAAAGCTTACAAACCATTCAGAACAGTAATTAAATGTATGACACTCCCATAACAAACATACAATCCCTCCCCTCTGCCTGTGAGATAATTGAGTAAAGTACTGTATGTAACTCAATTATCTCCAAGCAAACCCCCCCACATATTTTATAAAGTCCAATAAGTAACCCAAAAAACAACATAGCCCCATAAATGTTACACCCCCTGATAGCCCTGATCTGGGTGAACAACATATCCAAAAAATCACCCAGTTCAGAAATTTCTGGAAGTCTTTTTTTGACTGACCACATGCATGGTTTCATGCCCAAAACAGTTCCAGAGAATCAGGACTTGTGGCCGGTCTAGTTCAGTAGTTTGCAAACGAACAAACTACTGAACGGAGTCAATAGTCTTACCCTGGAGCTTGTTCCCTTCATCTAGACGAATGATCTCACCGAACAGTGTCCTTCTAAGCTGAATAGAAATGAATGCAGGTGATGATGGAAGTCCAGCGGTGTTCGGGAGTTTCTGTACCCTGCCTGTGTTCATGCGAACAAGATGGCCGCCACCTAGTGGCTGTTTATTGGAATCGTGGACACCCAGTCAAACAATTAGAACAGTGCAGTGAGAAACGTTCCAAGTTGTTAATAGGTGTCAACAAGCTCCAGGGTGGTCTCTGTTCGTGTGTTTTTTCGGTAAACGAACCATAAAGTCCCAATTGCACAAACAGAGCCTGTTTGAAGTATATTCGCCAGTTCTATTGGAGGGGGCATAGTCACAGGGTAAAAGGCTGGCAAGTAGACCCCTCCAAAAATCTGTGGCGAGGTCACTTTCACCACAGCTCTCAACATATGTTTGTAGGTGTGGTGGGACCACTCCCTAATTGTGAATTGCCCTTTTCTTGTGTGGATGTGCCCTCCTGGAATGTGTGTTCCCTTGGTAATTTTCTCCGTTGCTACCACCTCGATACTCCATTTAGTTAGAATGTTCACACCTCACTAACGAGATGTGAAAACTACAGGCCGCAAAGGAACAAGCAGCGGATGCTTCCCCTGGGTGGTCGCCGGTTCGTATCACCAAACGCCTACTAGGGAAGCATTCGTCTCCAGAACTGGCCTACGCACACTGTCTTCGATCCCCATGTCGGTGGTCATCCTACCTGCTACCCAACGGAGCTATAATCACTGTTAAACCCCTTACCTAGCCACTACAAGGCTAGGCTTGTAGCTGCCCAGGAGAACTCTCTCTGCCGGCTGATACCTGAAAGGGGTATCCACCGGAGAGAGGGATGCAAGCCAGCAGGTAATCTCTGGAGCTGTGAGTCGGCCTCACGGCTGCAGGCTCCTGCTAGCCGCATGGAAGTCCGTGCTGACCAATAGGAGAGGGAGCACCCATTCAAACTGGGTTCGCGCCCTTCTCCTGGTTGGTCGGCACAAGCAGATGCTGATTGGCGCGCCTTCCTCCCCCAAGTGCTGATTGGCACGATTTGGTTTGCGCCCTTTCAGCCTATAGGCTGCTGCTTGGTTTAGGAACAAAGTCCTATGCCCAAAGGAACCAGGGCTAATGGTCGGTCTCTGTCTGGAGTACAAAAGTACATACCTCACATGAACAGAGCCTTTCCAAGTGCATCAGGCAAGGTATATTGCAGGGTCCATAGTACTAAGGCAAGAGGCTGGCCAGCAGGCCCCTCCAAGAACCCATGACGAGATTACTTTCGTCACAAGGTTGATGTGGGAGTGGGAGCAGTTCTGTCCCAGAGAGAGTCCTCTGACAAACCATTGCACCCTTTTGGATTCTATTCCAAACAAATGTCTAAGGCTGAAAGGAACTACGATATTGGCAACAGGGAACTTCTTGCCATCATCGTAGCACTTGAATAGTAAAGACATCTCCTGTAGGGTTCTAGGGATCCAGTCATTATTTTAACAGATTATAAGAATATTTCTTATTTAAAAAAAACTAAGAGGTTGTCTTCTAGATAGGCTAAGTGGTCTCTGTTCTTATCACGCTTCATCACCTACAGACATGGTAACCGCCACTTCAAAGCAGATGCTCTATCTAGGCAGTTTGAGACTACTAATAAACATGAAGTAGACCTCTCTCCTGTCATGCTGCCTGACAGGATAATCACTACTACCCTTCACTATTTTTCATCTTTCGTCATACAGATGATACAATCCAAACAAAACAAAGCTCCAAATGATAAATCCCCTGACAAGGTATATGTCATTCTTACTGAAAGGCAAGATGTTATTTCACTCTATCATGACACTAAGACAGCTGGGCATTCTGGTGTATCTAAAACTTTTCTTGCAGTTTCTCTGAACATCTGGTGGCCCTCTATAACAAATACGTTCAAGCTTGTGTCACTAGTGTCAGCATGAAGTCTTCCTTGTGATTTTTTGCTGCCATTGCCTATACCCAATAGACCTTGGTCTAATTTGTCTATGGATTTTATTGTTGACTTCCCCCCTTCCAATAGCAAAACAGTCATCCTTAAGATAGTTGATAGATTCTCCAAGATGGCTTATTCGTTGCCACTAGTCAAGTTACTTTCTTCCAATTAATTACATATCATGAAAACTGTGTTATTTAAATGAATTAATAATTAGAACATTAACTATAAGCATGCCAATGAAAATTATGTTGCACCTAATCTATAGAAGAAATAATTAAATAATAAGAAAAAGAGTCTTAAAATGACGTTGCTAGACACTCTTTATTTACCAAGATTTTTATTATTTTTTTACAGCAAACAAATGGAAACAAAGATACAATTAACACAATAACAATTAATTTAAAATGCATTCTAACAGTAAATAACTGGAATATTTAAAGGGACACTCTAGTCACCAGAACAGTTTATTGAATTTGTCCTGGTGAGTAGAATCATTACCTTCAGGCCTTTTGCTGTAAACACTGAGAAAATGCATTGTTTAAATTACAGCCTAGTGATAACGTCACTGGCCACTCCTCAGATGGCTGGGTCATGGCTGCCTAAAATGCATCAAAAACATTCAGTATCTCCACCCTCTGTATACAGACACTGAACTTTCCTCATAGAGATTCATTGATTAAATTCATCTCTATGAAGAGATGCTGATTGGCTAGGGCTGTGTTTGAATCATGTTGGCTCTGCCCCGATCTGCCTCTTTGACAGTCTCAGCCAATCCTATGGGGAAGCACTGTGAAACACTGGGGAAGCACTGTCATTAGGCTTGTCAGTAAAAGCAAAAAATTAAAGAAACCACTGTGGTACTCCGCAGATGTGGCCAAAATTGTAAAAAACAAAAAGTTAGCATTTAGTAATTATAAAAAAAAAAGTGAGGAAGACAGAATGATCTATAAGATTAGGCAGAAAGAAGCTAAGCAAGTTATAAGAGCTTCCAAAACACACACAGAAGAGAAAATAGCACAGTCAGTAAAAAAGGGGGCCAAAATTTTTTTTAGATACATAAATGAGAAAAGAAAAGTAAAACAAGAAAAGTAAAAACAAAAGAAGGAAGGTATGTAGAAGAGAATAAAGGTCTAACTGACTTCTTCAATTAATATTTTTGTTCAGTATTTACAGATGAAAATGAAGTAAAGGGACCTCAGTTAAGAAAAAAGGATAAATGAGTAATTTATTACACGTGAGTTTACAGAGGAAGAGGTTCTATTTCAACCGTCAAAAGTAAAGACAAATAAGTCAATGGGACCTGATGGAATACACCCAAAGCTATTAAAAAAGCTTAGTGGTGTACTAGCAAAACCATTAACAGATTTATTTAACCAATCATTGTTAACAGGAGTAGTCCCAGAAGATTGATAGTTAGCAAATGTTGTGCCCATTCACAAGAAAGGTAGTAGGGAGGAGTTGGGCAACTATAGGCCAGTAAGTCTTACTTCAGTAGTGGGGAAAGTGATGGAAACCATGTTAAAGGATAGGATTGCTGAACATCTAAAAACACATGGATTTCAAGATCAGAGACAACATGGGTTTACTTCAGGGAGATCATGCCAAACTAATCTTATTGATTTTTTTGATTGGGTAACTAAAATTATAGATCAGGGTGGTGCAGTAGACATTGCTTACCTAGATTTCAGTAAGGCTTTTGACACTGTTGCACATAGAAGGCTTATCAATAAACTGCAATCTTTAAGTTTGGATTCCAATATTGTTGAATGGGTAAGGCAGTGGCTGAGTGACAGGCAACAGAGGGTTGTAGTCAATGGAGTATATTCGAAGCTTGGGCTTGTCATCAGTGGGGTACTACTTGGACCCATTCTCTTTAATATTTTTATTAGTGATATTGCAGAAGATCTTGATGGTAAGGTATGTCTTTTTGCCGATGAAACTAAGATATGTAACAGGGTTGATGTTCCAGGAGGGATAAGCCAAATGGCAAATGATTTAGGTAAACTAGAAAAAGGTCAGAGTTGTGTCAACTGACATTTAATGTGGATAAGTGCAACATAATGCATCTTGGACATAAAAACCCAAGGGCAGAGTACAGAATATTTGATAAAGTCCTAACCTCAACATCTGAGGAAAGGGATTTAGGGGTGACTATTTCTGATGACTTAAAGGTAGGCAGACAATGCAATAGAGCAGTAGGAAATGCTAGCAGAATGCTTGGTTGTATAGGGAGAGGTATTAGCAGTAGAAAGAGAGAAGTGCTCATGCCATTGTTCAGAACACTGGTGAGACCTCACTTGGAGTATTGTACACAGTACTGGAGACCGTATCTTCAGAAGGATATTGATACTTTAGATAGAGTTCAGAGAAGGGCTACTAAAATGGTTCATGGATTGCAGGATAAAACTAGCCAGGAGAGGTTAAAGGATCTTAACATGTATAGCTTGGAGGAAAAACGAGACAGGGGGGATATGATAGAAACATTTAAATATATAAAGGGAATCAACACAGTAAAGGAGGAGACTATATTTAAAAGAAGAAAAACTACCACAACAAGAGAACATAATCTTAAATTAGAGGGACAAAGGTTTAAAAATATCAGGAAGTATTACTTTACTGAGAGGGTAGTGGATGCATGGAATAGCCTTCCAGCTGAAGTGGCAGAGGTTAATACAGTAAAGAGTTTAAGCATGCATGGGATAGGCATAAGGCTATCCTAACTATCAGATAAGACCAGGGACTAATGAAAGTATTTAGAAAATTGGGCAGACTAGATGGACCAAATGGTTCTTATCTGCCGTCACATTCTATGTTTCTATGATTGGATCAGGCTATCACTTCTGATGATGTCAGCAGACAGCTTGTTTTTCTGATGCAAACCACATGCAGATCTACAGCTTCAGGCTTGAATACAGTAAGATTGTGCTATATTTATGGAGGCATGAGGGGCCCAGGGGGGCAAGATTGTGGTTTTAACACTATATGGTCAGGAATACACGTTTGTGTTCCTGACCCTATAGTGATCCTTTAAAGGATGGTTGTTATCATGATGAACTGTCACCAGGGATGTACAGTAGAGACTGTAACCGAGACTGGAGGTGAAGCCAGTGGCTGGGCTGGGCTCAAGAAGGATGTGTCTTCCAGGATATGTATTATCCCCTCTTTCTGTCCTTCTCCCAGGCCGGTATAGACCCTGCGCTCTACCAGGAAATAGTGCAGTCAGGAAGCAGGTCTGAAGACTGTTATTGGAATATCGAACAAGTGAGTTAGAGTTCCAAAGAAGTAACACACAATACTTTATTTTGAAAAAGGACTAGTAATTTGGTAAATTGTCCATAAACATGTGAGGTGAAATAATTTAAAATAGAAATATACAGAAAAATGGGGAACAAGCAATTCTAATAATACATCAAATATATATTACAAGTAATTATTTGAAACAAATTAAAGTGCATAGATCGAGTCGCACTAAATTACATGTCAGCAATATGTCAATTTGCATATTTTCATCCAGTCAATAGGGGATGCTTACAAGTTATCACAATACCAATGCATAATGTGCACTGACTGATACTGTTACAGCTATTATTTATAGTGTTAGCATAAGACAGACTTTGCTATAATATGAGGTACTGGAAGGTAAGCAAACTTTGAATTATGATTTTAGACTAGCTCACATTCACAGTAAATTAATACATAGATGCCTCATATATTATTAGAGTTGATAATAACATTTTAATAAATCAAAACATCACACAATTTATCTCCTGTGTGAGTTTTCTGATGTATTGCAAGTCGAGACTGCCAGCTGAAACATTTCCCACATTCAGAACATGAGAAAGGTTTCTCTCCTGTGTGACATCTCTTATGTCTAACAAGATGTGACTGCTGGCTGAAACATTTCTCACATTCAGAACATAAGAAAGGTTTCTCTCCTGTGTGAGTTCTCTGATGTTTTACAAGGTTTAATTTGTTGACAAAACACTTCCAACATTCAGAACACAAGAAAGGTTTCTCTCCTGTGTGAGTTCTCTGATGTTTTACAAGGTCTGATTTATTGACAAAACACTTCCCACATTCCAAACATGAGAAAGGTTTCTCTCCTGTATGAGTTCTCTGATGTTTTACAAGGTGTGATTTACCAAAAAAACACATCTCACATTCAGAACAAGAGAAAGGTTTCTCTCCTGTGTGAGTTCTCTGATGTATTACAAGTTGTGACTGACGGCTGAAATATTTCCCACATTCAGAACATGAGAAAGGTTTCTCTCCTGCGTGACTTCTCTGATGTCTAACAAGATGCGACTGCTGGCTGAAACATTTCCCACATTTAAAACATGTGAAAGGCTTCTCTCCTGTGTGAGTTCTTTGGTGTATTACAAGGTTTGATTTATTGACAAAACACTTCCCACATTCAGAACATGAGAAAGGTTTCTCTCCTGTGTGAGTTCTCTGATGTTTTACAATGTCTGATTTACTGACAAAACACTTCCCACATTCAGAACATGAGAAAGGTTTCTCTCCTGTGTGAGTTCTCTGATGTATTGCAAGTTGTGCCTGCCGGCTGTAACATTTTCCACATTCAGAACATGAGAAAGGTTTCTCTCCTGTGTGAGTTCTCTGATGTCTGACAAGGTCCGTTGTACTGACAAAATCCTTCCCACATTCAGTACATGAGAAAGGTTTTGTTCCTGTGTGAATTCTCTTTTGTCTAACAAGAGCTGATTTACTGAGTAAATATTTTTCACATTCAGTATATGAGAAAGGTTTTGGGGATATGTATACTATCTCCTTTGTAGACATATGTGATTCTGAGAGATTCCTTGAGTGTGAAGAGTTGAAATCCTTGGTCTGGTTATTAAGAGATTTCTTCATATTCTTGCTTAGTGTATTTGTTATCCTTTCCTTTAGAAAAAACTTCTGCTGATGGAAATACCTGAAAGACAATGTACTGGGAGTTATAGAAAATCTGTCTATAAAGGATTTATTGTTTACCATACTTAGAAAAACTGACTTTATTTTCATGAAACATCAGAAATGCAAAACATTTATACTTCAGGAATGGCTCACAGCTTTTAGAAGTTATTTTTTACGTTTATGTTTAAGTCTGCAAATATGGTTGTGAAATCTGTGCGCACACACACTCATTTCAAAGATCACATAGAAACATTGCAAGGGACGGCAGATAAGAACCATTCAGCCCATCTAGTCTGCCCTAATACGCATTAGGCCCTGGCCTTATCTTATAGCTAGGATAGCCTTATGCCTATCCCACACATACTTAAACTTGTTCACTGTGTTAACATCTACTGCTTCAGCTGGAAGGCTATTGTAACGGGTACCTCCGTTGAAGGATGCTCCTAGCACTTCCTGAGGGCTCCAAGCACTCCAGCTGACACCATAACCACTGTAGACTCCTCCAGAGAGCAAGGCAGGAACAAGCTCTTACAAGAGCTTAGTAGTGATATAGCAAGGGAGTATGACTAGCATAGCAATCCCTTGTAACAGATGCCCCCAGTAAAGAGATGACACTTCGTTTTGAGGGTCAAGCAGAACTGACTGTACTGGCACATACAGCCTCTTTTATTCCACAAACTTAGTACTGCCCACAGGGTTTTACAGAACAACCAATAACAAACGTATATTACAGAAAACACTCCCAGCAATTATACACAAAATCCTCCCCTCTGCCTGTGATATCATTATGGTACACAATGGGTTAACATAATTATCACAAGCAGGAAAAATACAGTTTTTATACATGTGCTATAACTTTAAAAATATACGTCCAATCTTACATATACAGAATCAGCACACTTTAAACATAAACACTCTCAAAAATCATGCAAATCCATCCAGTAGATAAAAAGTTCGCTGGGAGTCCTTTATGACCGACTGCAAGCACATTTTCCTGCCCAAAACAGTTCCATAGATTTGGGCTGTGCGGTCGGTCTATTTTACACAGAAAAATGACTAAGTCACATTCGAATGCAGTGAGTATAGCAGTGAGTTCAAACTGCCGAACGGGACTT